GTAGTGCTACTTGCCCTAGGCAGTAACCCTCAAAATGTCTTATGGGGAATTTCAATGTTTCCTGGTGCTCAAGGTCTCTTATTTCAAATTGGAACTGTTTTGAGGAAGACGGAACAGAGTAGCATTGCAGTAGGTACTGTTACTGTAATGATAGATACTGCTTGCTCCGTGTTTCTTAAAGGAAATACAGTTTTCTAAGGAAAAAAAAAAAAGCTTTTACCACTGAAAAAACAAAATGAAACTAAAAGAAGAATGCCATTTATAAACTTTATGCCCAAGAGTATAAAGGATTTAATAATTATTAAATAATTTAATGATTATTTCACTTTTGAGAGTAAAAAAGGGAAAAGGGTATTCTTTATCCTTAGACTAGCATAAACTGAAACTGGCCTGGTCAAAATGGGACATGTGATTCACCTAAGCTTAGAGGTATTTGATCTAATAATAATATTAGATGTAATCCAGAGGCAAATTAATCAAATCCATAAATGTGAGAAAGACGAGGTAGTTCCCTACTGAGTTTATTTTGATTAGCTTAGGTAAAAACATATTTATTTGTATTTAAGCTGAGTTATTTGTTAGAGCCACTAAATTTACAACTCATTAGAGGCTGACTTACAACTAATTAGAAGCTGGCACATAATTTAAACATAGACCAGTCTAACTCCAAAGCAACTTTCCTCCACAATATGCCACTTTAAGGAAAAATCATGCAGAATTTGAAAGATTAACATAAAACAATAATATTAAAGATACTATTTTACCATTTTTTCAGACTTGCAAAGTTTATTATACAAAATGCCCCATTAAATTTATCTGACTGCCCTGTTGTTTTTGTTTTTACCTCCAGTGTACATTAAACACACACACACACACATTTTCAGTTTAACTTTCAGTGCCCGTAGATAAACAGCGAAGGAACTTTAATCCTTTCCAACAAATCTTGAAGACCTGTCTTCGAATTATTTTGTTTAACTTACAAGCTTCTAAAAGTGAAACTCTCTGATTTAAAGTCGATACTGTTGCAAATTGAAAATTATTATGTATTCAAAAAGATGAAGAAAAATATACCTATATTATAAATTTAACAAACTTTTTGTTTGGTGATTAACTTGCCTTACTTTGTAAAAGAATGTTATAGATTTAGCATTCTTAGCCATAACTATATTAGTCAAAATACCAGTTTTGCCAATTTTAAAGAAAATATCATTGTTTATGTTTAAAGGATAGCTAGCCCTTAACCATTAAGTGGAAAAAGTATAGTGAGAGGTTGCTTAATGGTCACATAACAGACAAGTAGGAAAAATAAGTTCTATGTGTATACAGTCAAGCTGGGCATCTATAATTAACAATCATTTACTGCATGTTATCAAATGGCTAGAAGAGGGGAAATCGAATGTCCCCATCATAAGGAAATGATTACATTTTATAATGATGAATATGCTAAGTATCCTGTTTTGATCATCATGCATTGCATACATGTATTGATATTAAACTCTGTACCCCACTAATATGCATAATCAGTATGTTTCCATAAAAAATAGTTTTTAGAAACATTTGAGTTTTAATCATAAGTTATGATGATTTGTTTGTGATCTGATATCTGGAAGGAAACAGGTCAATGAAGGAAAATGTGTGGGTGTTTATAAAAATAAGGCTTTCTGTATCCTTTCACATTATATATTCTCCAGTGAGAGAAATAGCATGGTTCGAAGATAGTAATGAATGTTAAGTATGTACTTTTTCATATGAGTAATATAGTTTTGGAAGGCACTGCTCTTTCATAAGGTAATTGTATTCATGGTAATTGTCTCTAAACTTATAAATGAAATTATGAAAACCAAATTATATGCTTTTAAATAAATTAGCAAAATTTATATGTGATTCAGAATCCCTAGGATACTAGTTTCTTGATTAGTTGGAGGATATCGGTTGCATTATACTATTTCCAAATCACAGAATAAGGTAAACTATCAATTGATCACATCCTTATAGTCTGAGCTTGGATTTGCCACTTGAAGTATCCTATCTTTTATACTTTAGAGGGTCCCAATCATTTTAATGGACAGCCAAAGACAAACCAACAAACACTACTCCTGTTACAGATAACTGATTACAGAATATTCTATGTACCTTAGTGTTTGACTCTTCTGATCTCAATAGTATCATATCTGGACCTCATAAAGTTTCCTCTGACACACATACAGAAGAAAAATATTCTCAGAAACAGTTTGGTTGTCAATAGCCAGCATTAAACCTAGGAGAGGGATAAACAATTTAAAAAAGCATTTTAGCTATGTACTCTTTCTTCGAAGGATACACATAAGGAGTTAAATATTAGCTCTCAGGGAAAAAAATATATATATATATACACATTTATATATATACACACACGCACACATATAGGAATCTACCCTATACCTGCAAATATTTAAGAATATTCAAAATTGGGGGGAGTTAGGAAGGGTGTAAATAGTATTAACTTTTTAGATTATCTTGGTTTTATGGAATGTAATGTTAATTGTAAGAAACATAATGGTAATTAAATGTCTCAGATACATTAAACTATAATGAATAGAAAATATATGCAGAAGTACTTAGATTGTAAAAGTGGACAGGGAATAGCAAAATGAAACCTTAATTGAGAAAGTGCAAAGTAAACATCCAAGAGAAAAGAAAACAAAACTATTACTAAAAAACTAAACTTTTAGATAATGATTTTTCTATATTTCTTAAATTTAATAAATGTTTATTTCAAAAGAAATATAAACACATTGTAGAAAATTAGAAAATACACATTAGTAAAAATACAAAAATAAGAACACCATCTTCATACTACCCAGAGAAAACTACTGTTTAATGTCTTATTTTATATTATTCCAGATATCTGACATTACGATTGATTTTCACAGAAATAAGATAAAAAAAATAGGGGTCTTGTTTGGTTCTACTGGAAGTGGAAGAGAAAAAATGAACAATAAAAGATAAGATAGAGCATTTTCTTTTAATTACAGTGACACTGACATATATTTTCATAAATATGAACCACCTGTTTTGCAAAATAAATAAGCAGAGAAAGTTTAGAGTCTGATCTAAATCTATGATTAAAAACACGTTGGACCCTATTCTTAATTATACTAAATCCTTTGCAATAAAAAAATTGGCTGAGGAAACAAAAATGCTACCCTTTCTGTAGTAGTGACTTTTCAGGGATATGTTAGGAATTTGAGCTGAAAATTATGCTTTGGTTTGAAAACTTAAAATATTTCCTGAAATACATATTTAACTGGCATGCTCAAAAATACGATCTTGCACATACAAAAGCACATCACAATGATGAGTTTGTGTCCACACTATAGTTTAATTTTCTCAGCATAGATTTTTATATCTTTAGAAAAATCCCATTTAGGTAAATCTAGTTGAATTATAGCAACATTTCAGCATGCTGTAGTATTTGGAGCTGTCAGAAAGCAACCTTTAGGATGAACTATATTTTAAGATTTTTCTGCAGTTTTATTTGACTTCAAAAGACCTGACTTCAATGATAGAAGTTACACAGATTTTTTAAAGGAGCTCTTTAAAATTTTAAGATTTTATTTAGGACTATCCACTATCATTATTTCTAATCTATCTTTGAGCAAAAGTTTATTTTGCAAGAGCAAGTAGTTTATTTTTTCCCAAGAAAATGTAGCTGCGTAAAATAAGTTCCTGTAAAAATAGGAATATAAGATATTAAGTGCTTTATTATAGAAAACATGAGCATGCAGGAAATTCTTTTTTAGTTGTAATACATATCTTGGCTTTGTGGTCAAATATTTATTAGGTAACACCTATGTGTTTCACTCCAGGTTATTTGCTATGGCACACAAAATTAATATATTTCAGGACTCTGACCAGTGAAAGCTCATAGATACTACTCTACTCTAGAACAAGAAATTAAAAACCACAAATATTACTGTTCAAGCAAGGAAAAATATATCTTAGGAAACAATAAGAAGTGATTGGTTTCAAAATTATAACTTTGCTAACATCACATTGGACAAACATTTTAAGAATAAAAATCTCCAGGCAATCTCTTTCTAATCCCTTTTAGGTACTATTTACATTTTTTTATATAATACTTAATATGCACATCTCTTTTATGAGTATATGATCATCAAACACACTCTTGATTATAATATAATACTCCTGTCATCCTCACTCTGAAAACCTATCTGACTCAGTTATTTATCTTTCTTCTTCCCTTTGTCCTACCAGAATTGTCATAACCAGAGTATCAAACAGCATTTTTGGCAATGACAGCTCTCATTGGTACCCTCATACTCGCAAGGTGTGGGGTTCATATGTCTTTGGACCACTTATTTTTGCTTTAAAGCATTGGTTCTCAACTGGAGGTGATGTTGGCAGACATTTGGCAATGTCTAAAGACATTGTCATGACTGGAGGATGGGGGTACTACTGGCATCTAGTGGGTGGAGTCCAGGGATGCTGCCGAATATCCAGAAATGAACAGGACAGTTCTCTGCAACAAACCAGTATCCAGCCCAAAATGTCAATAGTGCCACTGTTGAGAAAGCCTGCTTTAGAACAAAAGCTGAAAATAAAATTATACACCACAACAATATAGTTAAAATGTATTTTCCACTTATTTGCTAATACTAAAATTTAAAAAATTTTAAATGCTCCCACCCGAACATTTTGGTGTATATTCTTCATTCTGTTAGCAATTTTTACATTTTCTCATCAAATGGCATGTTGTGGCTGCTCATCCCCAAATATTAGTTGTGTGTGCATGGTTTATTATTAAAAAATAAAACAAACCAAAAGCTACAGTTTTTAACATGAGAAAGTGTTTGTTAAGCCCTCATGTATTTTATTTGCATTTCTCCTAAATTATTAGATCTCTGTAATGTGGATAATGCATTAATGCAACTGCCTTTTCCTCTTCCTCTGCTTTTCTCTCTTCATACTTTTTCTTTTCTTTCCATTCTGGTTGACAGAACTCCCCTGATTGCAGCTGGAGTCATCGGTGGGCTCTTCATCCTGGTTATCGTGGGTCTGACATTTGCAGTTTATGTTAGAAGGAAGAGCATAAAAAAGAAAAGAGCCTTGAGAAGATTCCTAGAAACAGAGGTGAGGTGTTTATTTCTCCTTTTTGTGTGCTTAGGGATTTTCATTTGGTTTAGAAAGTTTAGATGATATTCAGTTTTTCAACCCAAGTGAACATTCTGTTCAATTTTTCTGATGACGGTTCGTATTTTATAGTTAGTATATGAAAAACATCTGATGAAGAATCAGAGTATACAGTAAAAATGGTCAAGGCAGGTTCATAGCTCCAAGGAGGTAGAAGGCAAGTTCAAGGAAATTATTGTATTGGGGAAAAGACTGTGTGTGTGTGTGTGTGTGTGTGTGTGTTTGCGCACGTCTGTGTGTGTGTGTGTGTGTGTGTTTGTGTGTGTAAAAACCATTAGCAAGCTCTGGGTAGAAGATATGTCAATAGCAACAGAACTAGAAAATATCTGGGTAGAGGATATCTCAGCAGCAGAACTAGAAAAAAGTTAAAAAGAGAGAGTTTTTCTGGTTCAAAATAGACAGATAGGCAAGCAATGTATGCTTTAATTAGGAAAATTAAATTGGTAGCCAATGATCTCATTATACCAGCAGTGAAAGACTGAGCTTAGTCTTTAGATAAAACTTAGTGTTGTAATCACACAGACATTACACAATTTATGAGATGCATTTAATATTATGTACGGTGGTTATTGTGAATATGTAAATTACCCATAAATTATTATGTTTTCTTTTATATTGCTACAATGAGTTCTCCAGCATGCAAACTGATAGTTTTCATTGTACAGGATACAGCGGAAAACAATTACAGGAGACTATTTATCACCTGACGTTTCTCTGCTCTCATCTTACCTCTTTCTCCTGATACACACATTTTTGCCTCCTGAATAATTCAGAGCAATTCTGTTCTGAGACTTAACCTACCCTGGGTTTGTTTTCTCTCTCATTGTCAGTGGGATAATCTGAGTTTTCCTCTTAACACTAACAGGAATGGGTTTAAGTATTTTTCTAAGGATTGGAGTTAACTGAAATTGGAATGAATTGTCTCATCAATAGACATGTTCAAGCAAAATAAATGTAGTCAATCACATACATGGAAAACGTAGCAGCAATTCCTACATTAGCTGGATGTTTACAGACAATCAATTTGATCACTTTCAACCTTGTACACATGAATTAAAGTTTGGGCACAGCCCATGTGCTGTGTATATTTTCAATTTAGCTAGGATGCTGGAGGCAAATAGAATTCTCCCTCAGGGTCATTTTGGGGCAGTTGAGGAGAGAATTCTGAAAAGTGAAGTAGCCTAGAGTTAGAGAGAAATTGAAGGCTTGGGACAGCAGTGGACATTTAGGTGATTGAATAAGTAGAAGAGAAATTCTGTCTCTTAACCACATGCAAGAAAGGCTCATTGTTATGAAGAGTTCTTGTTGCTTTCTTTTGTTTTGATTTTTTAATGCAGTACTTTATACGAATGTCTTTTAAATTGTCATTTCTTTACTAAATGAACACACACTGATTGGTTTTATAAGCAGATCCCATTTTACATAGAAAGTTGCTTCTTAGGACTAAATTATTTTACATTTGGAGGTCAGGTGATTGTAGAAGGGCCCCTCTTTCTCTCAGTAAAAGTAAATAACTATGATTATCTACCACCATCTAAAAAGAAGAGAAATTCTTAAGAGAATCAATTTAAACCCTTAAATACTGAAGCTAGAAATTTGCCTCAGAGGTGAAAAATTTGTTGAATCTTGATATGTTCTTGAAATGCACTTAAAGTTGATATACTTTCCCCAAATCCTTT